TATTATTATATTCTTTATAATACGCTTTAGTGGATTTGGATTTTACACCTACCAACCTTTGTTTAGATTTTACAAGCGATTTAATGGACGGTGTATTATTTTTTTCAACGGAAATCGTTTTATTCACAAAGAGGATGATTTTTATAAGCAAACGTCAAGTGACATTTCCATGGAAATCGTGAAATTACGAACAACCAGCCCACTTAATCTGACATGTATTCGAGTATAACGTCAATATGATTTCATTGCATTTCCTATTTTTAAATTATACTGTAGGTATAATAAACAAGTACAAATTGTGCACAGCCCTTGTGCAGATAAAGCGCATTTTTTTAAACACCCCTACGAAATTTCTTCCATAAATGAGAAAGTTGGCACTGCACATCCTACACAAAACCAAATTTGGAAAATGGCGCTACATTTGCTTTTATTCCAAGTGGCTATGTATCAAATTTCATTTAAATCCCTCCATAAATAAGAAAGTTGGCACTGGGCATGCGCAAAACGAAATTTTGAAACTGGCTACGTATCAAATTTTATTTAAATGCGTCCATAAATAAGAAAGTTGGCACTGCGCATGTGCAAAACCAAATTTAGAAAATTTCCCCCTCCACCTCGTACTTTGATAACGGGACAGAAAGTAGGGCAGTAGTTTGTAGAAAACTGTTCCTTTTGTTGAGACCTTTAATTAGAATACAATGAGAGATAAAATTAATTTTTAACCCCCCCCCCCTCACCCCTCAGATCCCGTCACTCAAAAAGAGTCGCACGGGAAAGTTATAGTATGTACAAACCAATTTATTTCGATGAGACCTTTCATTAGAATAGAACATGTGTTTACTCCTCCCCACCCATTTTCTAAAGTCTAACTTTCCACCACTAAAGGCATGCGTATGGAAAATCTGAGACCAATTGGTTGTCGTATGTAAAAGTTATGCACGTTTTACTTTCAAAAACAGCATCTCGGGAAATAATTCGTGGGGGAGTTAAATATTAAGGGCTGTAGTAGCACAAAGAAACAGAAAGATCATTCCTTCCTTGTTAAGTCAACAATAAAGAAATGATAGTAAAGAAATCCACTCTTTGTTGGCTCTTTTCTAAGAGACCAGGAAAACTTTCAAGTTCCCGTCTCCTTCGGTGTAAGAGTATGGGAGGCACATCAGGACCAGGTTCCTTAGAAAACAATAAGAATCAAAAGAAAAAGAAAATAACAGCAAAGGCCCAAAAGCGCAATTCAAAGGCATCTGAAACATCTCAAAGTGCAGATTACTCAGAGACGAGTGAGCTAGAATATGAAAGCTTTGATGAAGGAAGAGAAGAAGATAGTGTTACACATGAAAACCTATTGATATACGTTTGGAAAACTATTACGCAGTATGTTATTTACGAACATGGTACATTGGTAGAGTTGTAGAGGAAATTGATAAGAGTACCAATAAAATTAAATTCCTCAAGTCGTCCCTCGACACCTACATTTGACCAAAAGAGAAAAAACAAGTTAAAAAGTAATCGTAAACGATTTACATAAAGCGCATTTCCACTTGCATTCATTTCCCATTTGTAAGATGCAACTTCTGTTAAAATCGTAGAAATCCGGCCACAAATACGAAAGATAGCATTGCACATGGGCAATCCATTGTTGACGTGCTACTTCAATTTCAGTTTATGAGAAGAATTTCATTTCAATGCTTTTCTAAATAAGAAAGTTGGAACTGCGCATGCGCAAACCTAATTTTTAAAACTAATGTTAGATTTTCCTTTGTTCCAAGCGCCTAAGTATCAAATTTCACTTAAATAGTTCCATAGATAAAAAAGTTGGCACTGCGCATGCGCAAAACCAAATTTTGAAATTGGCGTTTGATTTTCCTTTATCCCAAGTGCCTATGTATCAAATTTCGTTTAAATTCTTCCATAAATAAAAAAAGTTGGCACTGCGCATGCGCAAAACCAAATTTTGAAATTGGCGTTTGATTTTCCTTTATACCAAGTGCCTATGTATCAAATTTCGTTTAAATTCTTCCATAAATAAAAAAGTTGGCACTGCGCATGCGCAAAACCAAATTTTGAAATTGGCGTTTGATTTCCCTTTATTCGAAGTGCTTCTGTATCAAATTTCGTTTAAATTCTTCCATAAATAAAAAAGTTGGCACTGCGCATGCGCAAAACCAAATTTTGAAATTGGCGTTTGATTTTCCTTTATCCAAAGTGCCTATGTATCAAATTTCGTTTAAATTCTTCCATAAATAAAAAAGTTGGCACTGCGCATGCGCAAAACCAAATTTTAAAATTGGCGTTTGATTTTCCTTTATTCCAAGTGCCTATGTATCAAATTTCATTCAAATACTTTTATAAGTAAAAAAGTTTGCAATTCGGTTTATAAATGGTCGAGATGCGAAAAGGGCACTGTGAATTTTGAATCGATTCGATTCAACTTTTGGCATTGCGTATTATATGGTTAAAGCTATGCCCATATTGAATTTCATGCAATTCAGTTCATAACTAACGGAGATGTAAAAACGATCGAACATTTCTAAACAAAGTTATCGTTCACACGGACAGATAGATGGACAGACAGACAAAGGAACAGACGGAGAGACCAACCGGCAGGCGACAGATAGCAATGCAAAATTATAAACGATCTCTAGGATCGTTAATAAACGGCAAAAGTGTAAAATTATGGAACATGTGAAAAACGGTTTTTTGTTTTTTTTACAAAACTTTTTTTGTAAGCGGTACACAAAAAATTCCTTCCTTGGTACAAGACTCGACACCATAACGAACCAAATAGCGAAAAAAGTAGAACAATAGCTCTTAAGATAAAAAACTAGTAGCGTCGCAAAGTTAGCGGACGGACGGACAAAGTGGCCACAATAGCGCATTTTTTTTTTATTTTTGTGGAAATGCGCTAAAAATGAAGACATTCAAGTCGTGGAAAATAAGTTCATATTTTATGGGCCAATATTACTATTGGGAAATGAGCCTTTTTATCTAAAACGGCATCAAAAATTGGGAATCGAACAGAAATTTAACCCCAGTGGTTACCCCCTCGGAAAATGTATATAAGGCTTATAAGTTATAACTATAACAAGGTTTTAATTACTGTTCGCTCCATTTTTTCCGCCAACAAACCAAAAGCTGCGGATACCTCAGCTAATACTAATGCGGTATCTAAACCTGAAGATGAGATAATCACAGAATTACACACGACGAGGTTTCAAACAAGTTTTACCAAGCTCCTCGAGTGAGCCGGAACAATTTAATTGTCAGTATAATATTGAGCCCGAGTCTGATCATCCGAGGAATCAGAGAGTCACGCCAGGTATCTCAATGTGTAAATCTGGATTTTCAAATAAGCAGAATTGAACATATGGGGTGAATTCAATTCTGGTCCAATTGAATCTGTTCTCCCTAGAGTACAGATGAATGCTTCAAAATGGAAAAATATTCCAGAGTAGCTCGCGAAAAGACGTGTACAAAAAAGACAGTCAATCAGTTTTCATGGTGCAGAATGGCACAGCATTAATTGTTTTGATCTTTTGATTCAGTTGCAAAGTGTTCTTTTCGGAAACCAAAAATAAACACACTCAGAGTATGCCGGACAAAAAAATCTAAATGGTAAAAGAAGAGACTAAGCGCTGTGAGAAACAACAGAAGATAGACCGAGACGTGTTAATTAAAAATGTATGGCCACCAAGTCGTGAAATAACATGGAAAATATTTGACGCTGTTTCATAATTCCTTCTAATTTAAACGAAATTGTAAATTTAAAAACATTACAATGCCGCTACATCTGCTGTACTTATAGTCCGTTTTTAAACTAAGAGGAGTGATTTAAATAGCTCCCGCGAAAAATCTGCATTGTGATTGGCTTATACGGCGCCGTTTTTACACAGACGCAATTTGAGGATCTTGACAATTCAGTTGACATCGTTATTCGCTGTGTCATTTACAATTGTGTTATTCGTATTTTATTTAATTTTGCCCTTTTCGTGTGTTTTAACTCTTGTTCAAATTTCAATTAAACAGTCAGTTCTTATTAGAACTAAACCGGGTACCTGTACTTGATTTTGTTGGTGCAAATAGGTACTTCGAAATATGGATTCCACGCCAAGTACTTAGTAAAGCGAACATTTCACCTGTAAAAAAGCGTACGCGTCTTAATTTGGGGCATTTATCGATCTCGGAAAAGCAGTGCATACTCGACTTATATAAACAGATGTTAAATGATGACCCTGGCACAAAGATGGTTACCGTTGTTGCAAAAATTGATGAAGGCGCAGGTAAGAAACGAAATACGCATTAAGGGCCGGTATTTCCATCTCGGGATAAAGTCAAGTATAAGATATCTTCCAGGTAAACCGACAGTTAGCGTCGCTTCGGGTATTTCGAACCTCGTTTAAATATTATCGGCAGGATAAGTTCTAGATAAAGTTATTGGGTAGATTTTCTGCAGTTATCAACATAACCCCAGGATATTGCGTCAAATTTCTAGTAAACTGGTGACGTTTTAAAAATTTGCGAAATTACCAACCGTACCTATACTAAATAGGAAGAAAGAAATTGAAGTATATAAGTAGAAGTACGCAAATACATACTATGTTTTCTTGAAGGATAGGTAACCTATTTTAGATGCCAAATGGATCAAGATTTTCTTGACACAAGCACACGATTTTCAGATGTGCTGAAATTAGCAGTTCTTTTTTTTCTACGCGGTGCATTTACATCACGATTTTGGTTCATGTTCAGAGTACTCATAAGTAAAGCTTATTCTGTAATTTACGTTTGACAAGTATATTACAAGTCACTTTCCAAAACAAAAGCATTCGTTCAAATTGTCAGGTAGTAAGCTATCTTGCTCTAATATATGGCCCTGCCGTTCGCTATCTTTTTCTATTACAGACTTCTAAAATCGGCAACATTGGCTATGGTTAGGTAGCTATCTACGGGATATTATTTATACCGCACGCTGATGGAAATACCCGCAGATAGATAGGGTGAGTTCCAGAATTAACCGTACAAAATACCGATACATTTTACCGTGACGTCATCGGTAATCTTAAGGTATTATAGCGGTTGAATTAGTTCTTGTATAATCTGGAACGCCGTGGTAGCAGGCTGGTTGATTTCTATTTATAACGTTATAATATAACCACACTTTTAAGTATTGAACGATTGAACGTACGGCCTTTTTACTGCATTATAATGATGAACCTAGAATGCGAATATTTAAATACTCGGTTTGAAATAACAGTCGACGCTGAAACACACGCAGCACTAATGCAGGGTAAATTCATTACTAATTAAATTAGGTAGTCACATTATTTTTCTACTATGTCTAGATGAGGAACAGAGGAACAATTATATTAAGAGAGTGTACGAAACTAGTATTAACCCATACACTCAATCTGAGGAAATGGAATCACAGCCGTTGGAAGGAAAGCCTCATCAATGGAAAAAGGAAACAATAGTGTTACTGATAGAAACTAGGCTCTCTCGGGAATTAGAATTCAACAGGCCCACATGCAAAAAAAAGAAGTTATGGCAACAAATTGCAAAAATTATTAATGAAAAACTTCGAGTGAACGTTACCAGCGACGAGTGCGATTTGAAGTATCGTAATCTTTTAAAAACGTATAAAAATAACAAAAAGAAGCAGCAATCTTCTGGAGAAAGTGCGATAACCTGGGAGTTCTTTGAGCGTTTTGATCATGTTTTAGGCTGCAAAGCGGCAATTACTCCTGCAGAAGGTAATAACAGCATTGTATGGTTATACACCTCTGTACATTATTTTATTAGGTTCCCTATACGACACGTTGGAGAATGATGATTCAGAAAATATTGAACCAGACTCACAACCATACGAAGAGCTACCTGCTTCTCCCAGCGCATCAGCAGGATCCGCAGGTACAGATGTCAATACTCAAAAGAGTAAAAAACGAAAAATGCAGATAAGTGATTATTTACTAAAGAAATTGGAAATGGAAGATGAGAAAAACAAAAGAAAGGAGTTGTTTCAACAGCAAAAATGGGAGGAGGAAAAACTATTAAAAGAAAAAGAAATTAATGCCATACTAAAATTAGTACAAGTATTAGCTTCAAAATGTGAAACTTAGTTTGTATTTTCAAATATTTTTATGTAGTTTTAGAGTATTTTACACATCGTTTTTATATAAACTAGTTTTTAACAAATTAACATTAAAATTTCATTTGACTTAATATTTGATTGCGTAAACGCACACCACAAAGATCTAAACCACTCTCTTCTATTTCTTGATCATAGTGCTCAATATTATTATCACCTTCTTCTTCATCTATGTTTCCACAATATTCAGGATCATCCTTGACACCAATGTTGTGCAAAATGCAGGCTGTGGTTATTACGTAAGGTATTTGCTGTATACGTAGCATCGGTAAGTATTTTAAGCGACGAAATTGGGACTTGAGTCTTCCATACGCTTGCTCAATTACAACACGGGTACTGCTTAATTTGGCATTAAATCGACGTTGTCTTAATGTTAGCGTGCCATTGTCTTTAAATGGCACCATCATATATGGTTTTATTGGGTATGCAGTGTCTCCTAACAGGTAACAGCCGGGCAGCAACATTGCATTTGCACCTTCTTCCAATTTCTTGTAGACTTTTGAATTTTGCCACATTTTAGAATCGTGCACAGATCCTGGCCATCCACAATACACATTAATAAACTCTTGCTTTGCATTACATATGCCTTGAAGTAACACGGAATGAAAGCCTACAAAGTTGAACATTACAAACTATCCTTATATTACACCTACAAATAATTTTGCTACCCTTTCGATTGTAATATGAATTGTCAGCTAACGGACCGGGAATGGGAATGTGTGTGCCATCAACGCAACCAAACACATCTAAAATGTACCTATATAATTCGAATGCCATTGCACACTGTAACGTTACAACTCTTACTTGGAAAACTATTTTCTCCTCTTAATGTACTAAACTCAGTTACGGTTTCTTGAGCTTTTGCTCCTTTGGGCCATTTAATATAGAGATGGCTTTTTTTATGTACTTTCTGGCACATCAAAAGGAATATACGATGTGCATGACCTTTTCCAATACCAAATCTATCCGCAATAGACCTAAAACTCTCTTGATTGCTAATGGTCCATATCATGAGCAAGACAGAGTCTAATAAAGGCAATGCGGGTCTGCCTACTGACGAATAGTCTTTAGTACCCAGGCACTGCATTAGTTCCTACAAAATGACAATATAAATAGATACTGTACTTAATACTAGTACTAATTAAAAACCTCCACTGATTGTCTTGATATACGAAAATGGGCCCGAAAGTCTGTAGGATTGTACTTTAGCACAACACATTTTACATAATGTCGCACCTTTGGATGATCGTCTGTTCTGAGTAAAGATAAAAGTACATCATCGTCATCATCACCTTCATCGCTGTCACTTTCATTTAGCTTTGGATGTGTATCTTTAAAAACCCATCTATTTTTTATGACGGTATACAGCAACAATTCCATTCTTCGACAAGTGCAATAACGCTATACAAATAAGTCAAAAAAGTAAGGTTAGCGCAAACTGGTAGCTTAATAACCGCCAAAATAATTCGGTGCGTATGGTAGATCACCGGTGATACACCAATGGTTTGTAGGTTAAAAGTGGAACATGCGGTGGTGCCCCACCGATTAATTCTGGAACGATCGAAGTTTCTACCGGTAGTTACCCTACATCTACCGGTTAATTCTGGCACTCAACCATAAACGGAAGATATCGGGCGGTATAAGTTATTTTGCAGGTACGAATCTAGTACTTTATCCGAAGATGGAAATACCGGCCCTAAATGTTAATTTAACACACACACTTTTTTATATAGGAATTGCAAAATCCACGGTTTACCGAACAATAAAGGAGTATAAGAAAACGGGAGCTGTAACACCTTCTAAACGTTCGGGGGGTCGCCCACCTTTGGTATCGCAATTTGACGAAAGCACAAAATCATCAGTTCGTCAAATTATTCACAACTTTTTCTACCTCAATGAACTTCCCACGTTGGACAAAATCAATAGTCGTGAAGCTTTATCACAAATGTGTCCTTCATCTACTTGAACGTGACGACATAATAAGACAAAAGCACGAAAGCATTTAAAATCTATTAAGCAATATAGGAACCAAGGACGAGTCATATATTACTTAGATGAAACATGGTTAAATGAAGGCCATACAAAACAAAGTGTGGACTGATGATAACGTTCGTACTCGACGAGAAGCGTTTGAGGAAGGATTGTCTACCGGTTTAAAAAATCCTTCTGGAAAAGGGAAACGTCTCATTATTTTACATGTTGGCTCTGAGAACAGTTTCGTAAACGAGGGTCTACTACTTTTTGAAGGAAGAAAAACATCCATTATCACGAAGAAATGAATGCGGAAGTGTTTGAAGAATGGTTTGCATCTTTCTTAGTGAAAATTCCTGAAAATGCTGTAACTTTACAATATATTGTAGCTAGCACCTTTTGATTTTATAAAATGATTGCATTTATGTCTAGGTACATAATAATTAAAATTTCTTGTAAACCAAATTGTGTAGGGTAAAGTGTATTAAAAAGCCATAAAAATGATCAACACTGCATTTTTTTATAATATATGCCTTATGTAGTAGGCAACCCATAATACACATGTGTACGTATGTATCATACTTACAACAATTGCCCAAAAGTTACTAAATTTAGTAACTTTTTCGGATGTAAATCAGACTTTTCAATTTACTCCTCTTAGTTTAAAAACAGAGTTTATAGTTCCCGGTTCGAATCCGGATGCGGGCATGGATATTTGTAAATATATAGTGGGTAGAGCAGCTTCGGTTAAAACCCCGCCCACTTAAAAATAAAGACCAAAAATAAATAAAATAAATGGTCAATGCACCGCAATTTTATCGGTATCGGTCAGAAATGCTGCATCAGTCGATCCCTGATTGATAAGAGCCCATCATTTTGTCTAAACATTTTTGGAACGGTTAATAGATTCACAGTCGCTGATGTAATTCCGAGATGGAGATTTCTAAAGAACGAGACCGACATAAAGGACTTCTCGTGGGGTTTCTCTTCTATAGAAGGCTCAGAAGGTACAATAAAGTCTCTGAAACTGATTAGATGCATATTTGGGCAAAGGTTTATAGTTAAAAGACCAGGCAGTCCTACGTTCTGGTCAATGTGAAGGATAAGAATCCCATTTGCTTTCGGGAAACGTCATTATGTTGGTTATTAGATAAAAAATATCATTTGTGTGGAATAACATGCATATACAGGCTGTTCCCGCAAACTGTTACCTAAAAGTCTTCACGCTCTCATTGATAGATTAAGTCTGAGCATTTGCATACCGACATAGCTTTTCATAATCTATCGAAAACAAAATTATCTCGTTTCACTTCCGGTTTCACCAGCTGTGGATAGCAACTTTCTTATTTTAAATAGAACATCCTGTATTTTATGCTTTTTAGCGCATTTTTGCAAAAATTTTTTTTGTAAAAAGTAGCTTTTAATCTCACTTTGGCTGGCTGGCTGGCTGGCTGGTCGGCTGGCTGGCTGGCTGGCAGTAAATGCGCGCCCGTAGAAAAACGCTTGTAAAAAGACAAGGAGTGTACATGTAACTATCGGGGCCGTGTAATTAAGAACGTTAGGGATGGGGCTACCAGATTTGGAGTCGACGACATCTGGACGCCATCCCCGAGCGTATTATACTAACCTGGAGATTTTTCAGTTTTTATCTATCTTCTTCTACAGTTTTTCTCCGATTGTTTTCAAATTGGTGTCGTCGGGAAGATCTTGTCAACGCGCACAACTCCTGCGTGGCGAAATTTAGTTTTTTTTCCTAGGGGCGAAATAAACCACCTTTTGCGCGGCGCGCTTCGAGGGGTAGTCGACTTTGGGCGCCCAAAAGTTTCTTACAGCGCGAATCGCGGTCTCTCTTTCTCGTGTCACTAATAGAAGGTCGAGCTATGTGACGTACCCAAAAGTTGAATACGATTTTATGCCGGCATTTTAGCGAAATCTACCAAAATGTGAATTACGAATGAACGGGACGCCGGAACTGTGTATCGACAAAGGGAATGTGGTAACCCCCGACGAGATCTTACTGATGGTGGAGTCGAAACTTCAAATCCGAATTGTTGCGGGTGATCAGAAGTGGGTGTCGACAATGATGGAGTCAAAACTTCAAACGCGAATTGCGAGTGCACGGTAAGTGAGAAAATGGTACCGACAAAGTGAACGTGGTAGCTTTCGGCAAGATCTTATTGATGGTGGAGTCAATATTGGCTAATAAAACACTGATCAGCCACACAAAAATGCGCTGAAGTCCCTTCGATCTCACACGAGGACTTTGATCATTTTTTCGAAATCCACATGAAAATCTACGTCGTTTGTTACCACAGTTCCCTACATCCAGCATCAAAGGTTTTCAAGTTATTCAAGATTTTTTTAGCCCTATATGTATGACTCCGTTGGCTTGAATTTCGAAGTCTTCCAAAATCAACGATACTGATTTGGTGCTACATGCGAACAATTTAAATTTTGACCGCCCCTCTACAGGGTGTTTTAAAAATAATTGTCAAACCGTAAAAAAATGATTTTTTCAAACGAAGCATGCTTTATTTTTTGCACTTTCAAATGTCGCGAAAATTCTACATCGATCGGTTATTACATTCCCTATGCTTTTCGTTATTTTAGATTTTCTAAAATTGTGAGCGTTATGCGTAATTATCTTAGGAGGAGTCATAGGTACAGGGCCCAAAAAAGCAGTCAAACGTAAAAAAACCGTTGATGCTGGGTATAGGTATAGGAAAATGCCGTATCAAACGACGTAGATTTTCATGTATATTTCGAAAATGCAATAAAATATAGGGTGTTCTATTTAAAATAAGAAAGTTGCCATCCACATCCGGGACCGGAGAGGCGTAGACATTAAATTTTATCTTCACTGGTATTCTACGTAATTAAAGGTCTCATCGAAAGGAACTGATTTCTACCAACTACCCCCCCTTTTTCTGACCCCGTATCAAAAGAGGGGGTTGGGGGGGGGGCTGATTTTATCCTAATGTCACAACTTTAAGAGCGAATATCTCGAAAACGGTTTGTCGGAGGAAAGTACTCTC